TCATCATAATTTGGGGTTTTTTAAATCATCCAAAGGCTGAGTGCTCTGAATCATTCACATGTCTCTTTCATAACATTATAAACTGAACGCTTCCATTTTCAGAGCAGGCAATTTACTTCTATTGGCATTTCTTGGGTAGTTTCCCAACATTCAGGCCAAGTGGCTTAACTGAGAGCACAGCCACATTCTGAGCTGCGAGTTTCCATTTCTGTGAGTTGCCCAGAGAACAAAGTGCTACTCAGCTTGTCAACACATTTATTAAGTCTTTATGATACTCCTGGCCCAGATAGGGGTAGGAAATAGAAGTTTGGAGAGGAGAACCATTTGTTTCTTTCCTCTAGGCCACCTCCAAAAGCTAGCCTAGTCTTTCAGAGCCAAGGCTGCAGTGCGGTACTTCTCTGAGGACCAGTTCAGCTCTTCTGTTGTTCTGTGGGAACAGGGTCAGCCCTCGAGATGACACTGTTTGAATCTGGCCTCGGATCCATCAGCAGTGGCCCTGATGGATCCGATTGTGTGTTTCTTATATAGTTTAGGAATAAGAAAGGGGAGATAGAAAATGAAAAGCAAAGTCAGGAAGTGAGAGGACCACAGACAGCCAGACAGGCCCTTCCTGGAGGGATCAACATCTACATCTGGCCTAGGGAGGACCCCTTAGACCACCCTGAAACAGACTCAGGACTCCAAGGTGGGAGCTATTTTCCCATTAGGGGAAAGCAGGAGTTCAGGCAGCTGCTTTCACTAGTGCCACATCTTTCCTGGGATCAGTACCCCATCTGCCTGGGGTGTATTTCCATTCACTCCAAGTCTTCAGGGAACAAGCAGGAGAGCTAGTGGCTTTCCCAGGTGGCTCAGTGGTAAAAAAAAAAAAAAAAATTGCCTGGAGTGCTGGAGACATGCAGGAGACACCGGTTCAATGCCTGAATCAGGAAAATCCCTTGGAGAAGGAAATGCTAATCCACTGCAGCATTCTTGCCTAGAGAACTCTGTGGACAGAGGAGCCTGGCGGGCTACAGTCCACGGGGTCGCAAAGAGATGGACACAACTGAGCATGCACATGCACAGAAGAACTAGTATCTCAGACATCAAAGAAATCATGTTTGTTTCAGAAACAAGTTTCAGCATTTAATCCTGTGGTATCTCCAGATAGTGATCTTCTCTTCCTTGCATTTATTCCTTCACTAATTCATCAACTTAGCAAATATTTATCAAGACCTTCATGTGTACAGAGCAGTAGTCAAAAAACTAAAGGATTAACAAGGACAAAATGTATTTTGTACATAGGTAACGACAGGTATTATAGAGTGTGACAAACCCACGATTTAGGGACGCGTTCTCACAATGACATTCTCTCAATTGGAAGTCCATTCGAACAAAAAAGTCTGTAAGACTAGCCATTAATAAGAGTTACTCAATCTGGATGATATGAATGTATCAGTCTCCCCTGAAATATCCACCATAACTATAACTTTATTTTGTGACTTGGGGAAACAGATTACAAGGCTGTGTTGTAATGCTGTAATGACAGAAGCATTATTGTCTGGGGAAAAATAATTGGAAAAGAAAAGTATTTGCAAATGGTACAAATGAACTTAATTATAAAATAGAAATAGAGTCACAGATGTAGAAAACAATCATATGGTTACCAGAGACGGAAGTGGGGGAGGGATAAATTGGGAGATTGGGATTGACATATACATATCACTATATATAAAATAGATAACTAATAAGGACCTACTGTAGGGCACAGGTAACTACTCAATACTCTGTAATAACATATACAGGAAAAGAATCTGAAAAAGAACAGATACATGTATATGTAAAATTGAACTACTTTGCTATACACCTGAAGCTAACATAACATTGTAAATCAACTATATGCCAATAAAAAATGAGAGAGAGAGAGGGGAAAAAAAAAAGAAAACTATTTGCCAGCATGTTTCCAGTACTGTCCATGGAAGAGGAAATCATACACCAATATTTGTTATCTAGATGGAAATAGCTCCAGAGAGAAGGCTAATGACATTTGCCCAGTACTTTAGTTTACAAAGTGCCTTCATGTACATTATCTCTTTCATCATTCACAATTGCCTCCATAAAGTCAGTGCCATTATCAGGTCTGTTTTATTGAGGAAGAAGTGGAGGCTGGGAAACTAAGTGACTTTCTAAGGTCACGCTGCTTGGGAAGAACAGAACTATGGGTGTTCTGACTTCTCGGCAAGCCTACTCTCCACCACCTCTTAGCTGTCTTAACATGCACCAAAAAACCCCACCACCCCGAGTTAATGCATCATGCACAGCTTCCAGGCAATGCCCTATTTCCTACCTGACTCTAGGCTCACCAAGTCTTTTTTGTTTTTTGGGACTGCATGGTATATGGACCTTAATTCCCCAAACAGGGCTTGAACCCACATCCCCTGCAGTGGAAACGCAGAGTTTTAACCACTGGACCACCAGGGAAGTCCCTATGCCAAGTCATCTTTTGATCAGTAACTGGGTCTCTTGGGAGAGGTCAACCTCCAGGAGATAATCATTTCACTTAGGACGAGTTTCATGGGTGTGCAACCAGTGTAGCTCCCCAGGGTTCTGTGCTAGGAAAAGCCACTTGGTTTAACGCTTTTCTGTCATTGCCATTTTTTTAAAAAAAATATTTTTTGGTTGCACTGGGTCTGAGTTGCAGAATGTGGGATCTTTGTTGCAGCATTCGAACTCTTAGTTGTGGCACACAGGATCTAGTTCCCTGACCAGGATCAAACCCAGGCTCCCTTGTACTGGAAGCTCAGAGTCAGCCACTGGATCACCAGGGAAGTTCCTGTCACTATCTTGAAATTCTTAACAACTTTTGAACAACATACAAATTATGTTGCTAGTCCTGAGTGCACAAATGATGGTTACCAGCTGGATTGGGTCCCTGGGTCATCAACCAATGCCTTGGGAGTTTAAGGGCATGTATGTGGGATTTAGAAATCAGGACAGGAGAGAAAGTGGAGGACAGTCTTGCTGGGGGAGAAGCTTTGAGAAAGGCAGAATGGTGGATGAATAAGGCATGTTTTCGGGGTAATTACTTTTTGCAGGCTTCCTCCCTTTGGCTCTTTTCAAAACATCACTGATGGAAGAGTTCTCACAGCAGGTCTGTACACTTACTCTTTCCATGTCTCCAAAGGAACCATGATTGACCTTTGATCATCAGCATGGCAGAATGTGGCCCCCTGGAATCTTCTTTCTGTTAGCTGTTGATAATTTAGTTACAGATACTTGGAACAATGGATTGTGCTCTACTGACTGGCTTGTTGGGTTGCTTTGACAGATCACAAGAGTGATGGGGATTCCCTGGTGGCCCAGTGGTTAAGAATCTGCCTTCCAATGCAGGGAACACAGGTTTGATCCCTGGTTGCAGAACGAGGATGCTACATGCCTTGGGGCAACTAAGCTCGTGCGCGGCTACTACTGAACTCAGGTGCTGTTTAGCCCATGTATCACAACAGAGATCCCACGTGCCACAACTAAGACCCAATGCAGCCAAATAAATAAATCAGATTAAATGTTAAAAAGTGTTTGTTGTTGGAGTGATGATGTGCACCTGTGATCACGAGTCATGATTTTGGTTGTCGTGGCTGCTTGTGCAGCAGAATGTACCTAAGTGACCTGCCCCCTGTAAGGGACAGGGACATTCCACAGACTCCCAAAGAGCTCGACCAGAGAGAAAGCAATGCTGTGAGACCTTCGGGGAATGACATCAGAAGCTCGTGCTGAACCTTTCTGGACACATGCACGCACGCCTGTTTCCTGCTGCTTTTGCTCAGCATCCTTTGCTGTAACAAACCTTAGTCACCAGTGTGACCTGCCACTGAGTCCTGTGAGTCCTTCTGGTGGGTCACCAAACAAAACACAGCCTTCTACTAACTTCAAAAGTAGTTTGTGTTCCATGAAAAGATGCTCAACATGGCTAATTATTAGAGCAATGCAAATCAAAACCAAAATGAGGTATCACCTCACACGGGTTAGAATGGCCATCATTAAAAAGTCTACAAATAATAAATGCTGGAGAGGGTGTGGAGAAAAGGGAACCCTCCTACACTGTTGGTGGGAAAGTATGCTGGTGCACCAATGTGATAAACAGTATGGAGGTTTCTCAAGAAACTAAAAATAGAGCTACCATATGATCTAGCAATCCCACTCCTGGGCACATATCTGAACAAAATTTTAATTCAAAAAGATACATGCAGCCTTATGTTCACAGCAGCACTATTTACAATATCCAAGACATAGAAATAACCTACATGTCCAATGACAGATGAATGGATGAAGAAGGAGTGGTACATATACACAATGGAGTATTACTCAGCCATTAAAATGAATAAAGCAATACTATTTGCAGCAACATGGATAGACCTAGAGATTATCACGCTAAGCAAAGTAAATCTGAAAAGGAAAATACCATATGATATTACCTATATGTGGAATCTGAATGGTGACACAAATGAACACACCTATGAAACAAAACCAGAGTTACAGGCATAGAGAACAGGCTTATGGTTGCCAAGAGGAGAGGAAGTAGGAGAGGGATGGACTGGAAGTTTGGGATTAGCAAATGCAAACTAGTATATGTATATGTATATACTAGTATATGTATATACTAATATATATGGATAAACAACAAGGTCTTACTGTATAGCACAGGGAACTATATTCAGTATCTTGTGATAGTTCATCAAGGAAAATAATATGAAAAAGAATATACATGTGTGTATATATATATATATATATATGTTTAACTGAGTTACTTTGCTATGCAGCAGAAATTAACAAAACATTGTAAATCAGCAATACTTCAATAACATTTAGAAAAATAGTTTGTGAGCTATCTTCTGCCTTTTCAGTGATTTAGAGTCATGTGTTTTACTGCAATATACTGATTTAATGATACTAAAACAGATAATGACAATATTTATAAATTATAAACTCAAGTCCCAATATATCTTTTCCCTTAAACCCCTTCTTACATTTTGAACATTGTTTTACTGAAGATTTTGGAGAATCTCACTAGATTTGAAATGATTTTAAAAGACTTAAAAACAAAACAAAACAAAAAAAAGAACCCTATATGATCCAGATGCCATTAGACCATTTGGAGAGTATCTTTCATTTTGAAGACACGTGCACTTGCTAAAATAGACTTGGAACGACTCACAGAGCACATGCCTTTTTGTCCTCTTGGATTGATTACCGCCATTCTTTCTTCTCCAACATTCCAGAAGTACTGACTCATAGATTACAAGTGTTTCAAAATTCTATCACATGCGTCCCTGCCAACCACAGCTCAATTTGTCTATCTTTGTGAAAACTTGACCTCTAGTGAGATCTTAGGTTTATTTTGTAATCCCTTTAGTTTAAAATAACAAGAGTTAAATTTCCCTTATTTTTTGTTTGTTGATATACTTGGCTTTTACAGTATTGATTATTGTTGTTCAGTCGCTCAGTCATGTCTGATTCTTTGCCACCCCACGGACTGCAGCATGCCAGGCTTCCCTGTCCTTCACCATCTTAAAATATTTGTCAAGACTTGTACAATTAAAAAACTTAAAGGTATATTTCAGTTCAGTTCAGTCAGTCATGACCGACTCCTTGAGAACCCATGGACTGCAACACACCAGGCTTCCCTGTCCTTCACCAAGGTATATTTAGAAAATGTCTAAGGTCTAAGTCTTCATAGTTAACTTCTTTCACTCCATCTCTCCTGCCCATCAGGGATGCTCTTATTGATCTACTTTATGATTTTAAAGCTTTTAATTAAAACCTCTTATTGAGTGTTGGAATATCGTTATATGTATTGGGTTGGCCAGAAAATTCATTTGGATTTTTCCATAAATCTTACAAAAAAACCAAATGAACTTTCTGGTCAACCCCATATATATCCCTTGCTTTGCAGAATATGTGTATTATCATCAGTTGACTATTAAAAGCAAGTTTCTATAAACTAATCTTTATACTTTTATCATCACAGTTGAGGTCTGTATAGAATGTTCACTCATTGACTTAATCTCTCTACCATCCTAGGAGTTAGGTGTTAAGAGAGGTAAATGAAATTGCCACCATCCTGTGTTAATTTGCTGGAGAAGCTGAAATTCATTTTGCTATCTCAAAATTCAGAAATCTTCAAAGGCTCTCCATTTCCAAGCAAATAAAGTTTAAACTCCCCTGCTAGGAGTTTTAGTATCTCCCATGATCTGGCCCCAACCTGCATCCTTGACCTCATTATTCCTAACCATTTCCTGACACGGGCACTTAGCTCCTTGCTGTGCTTAGGACAATGCTAAGTACATAGTAAGCGTTCAATAAATGCATACTTTTGGATGGATTTTTAAAGATTAAAAACAAGATATTCTCATAGGCTATCTATGAGCTAAAACTCTGAGGCTATTTTAAAAAATATTCATAATATAACTGGGAAAAGTTAAACTTTGACTAAATATTTGATATTGAGATTATTCTTACTATTTTTTTTAATTGAGGTAGAGTTGATACATAATATGTTTCAGGTGTACAACATATTGTTTAGTTGCTAAGTCATGTCCGATTCTTTGTTACCCCATGCACAGTGATTCACAGTTTTTTTTTTTTTTTTTTTTTATTAGTTGGAGGCTAATTACTTCACAACATTGCAGTGGGTTTTGTCATACATTGACATGAATCAGCAATTCACAGTTTTTAAAGGTTATATTCCATTTATGGTTTGGTTTAGTCACTAAGTTGTGTCTGACTCTTTGTGACCCTATGGACAGTAGCCTGCCAGCCTCCTCTGTCAATGGGATTCTCCAGGCAAGAATGCTGGAGTAGTTGCCATTTCTGTCTCCAGATATTCTATTTATAGTTATTATTAAATATTAGCTGTATTCCCTGTATATCCTGTAGCTTTATACACAGTATAAAAATACATAACCTCTACTGTTACTACTATTAGGTGTGACAGTGGTAATGTGTTTGCATTAAAAAATCATTGTAGGGACTTCCCTGGCAGTCCAGTGGCTAAGACTCAGCGCTCCCAATGCAGGGGGCCAGGTCAATCCCTGGCCTGGAAACTGGATCCCACATGCTGTAACCAAGACCCGGCACAGTCAAATAAAAAAATATTTTTAAAAAATCACTGTATTTTGGACTGAATTGTGTCTCCCCTCCCCCCAAAAAAACCCCTGTGTTGAAGCACTAACTCCACAAGAATGTACTGGGTTAGCCATACGATGTTACAGAAAAACTCGAACATTTTGGCCAACCCAATATTTGGAGAAGGAGACTTTAAGGAGTAATTAAGATCAGATGGGGTCATAAGGGTAGGGTCCGATAAGAAGGACTAGTGTCCTTATAAGAAGAGGAGTAGACATCAAAAATGAAGAAGAACAGCAGGAAGGCCAAGTGAGGACACAGTGAGAAGGGAGGTCATCTGCAAGCCAGGAAGAGAGGCCCCACCAGAAACAAACCTGTCAGCACCTTGATCTTGGAGTTCCAGCCTCTAAGACTGTGAGAAAACGAGTTTCTTCTGTTTGGGCTGCCAAGTCTGTGGTATTCTGTTATGGCAGCCTGAACAGACTGCTACACCTGTTTTTAAGACTCCTCCTCCTCTACTCTTTCTACTTCTGTTTATCTTTCAAAATTTCATTTTAAATTTCCATATTTCCACTGTAGGGGGCACATGGAGTAGCCAAAAAAAAAAGAGAATTCCAGAAATACAGTGTGAAGTACTCTTGAGCTCTGTTTGGTAAGAAACTGCATGTACACATTCAGTCGCTCAGCTGAGTCCGACTCTTCTCAACCCCATGGACTGTGGCCCCACCAGGCTCCTCTGGAAGTCCACGTCTAAGTTTCCAGGCAAGAATACTGGGTTTGGTAGCCATCTCCTCCCTCAGGGAATCTTCCCGACCCAGGGATCAAATCCTGCTTGGCAGGAAAATTCTTTAGATTCTTTACTGCTGTGCCACCTGAGAAGCCCATCTTGGTAAGCAAAAGTTTCTGCAAAACTTCTTCTCTATGTAAATAAGTTATAGCCATTCAGAAATCAAGACTGCTTGTTAGTGAGGAAAGAGAATGCAAAGTCCACCTCTAATAATAATGATGTCACAGTTCATATTCTGAAGAGAATTCTGGATTGCTTCTTGACCAAACAAAAAAATCAAATAAAGAATACAAATTCAATAAACATCCTTTACACACAGAACTTTATACTCAGACTCTCTTTCAAGTCCTGCTTTCAGGTTTCGTTTTTTAAAAAATAGAACCTTGTTTGCCTTTTTGCAACACATTCTTTTCTATTTAAACCTAATGTTTTGACTCTTAGAATCAATCCCATGGACGATGAAAGAGAGTCTACGCCCAAAAGTTTTTATCAGGTGGATCAGGAAACTGCTCCTTTTTGTTCTTTTCTAAATGGTGGAGAACTGTGATTCAACCAAAGTAACAAAAAAAAACCCAACTCCACCAAATTAAAACATAAATGTCCATTTGCCGCAGTTTTGTTTATACAGTGCTTACTTTCTCTCTGCAAAGCACCATGATATTGAAAGTGTGGTCCTAGGGATAAATCACAATTTAACTGTAATTGTTAGACACCAAGACAAACCAGGGGCTTCCTTGGTGGCTCAGTGGTAAAGAATCTGCCTGCCAAGCAGAGACGTGGGTTTGATCCCTGGGTTGGGAAGACCCCCTGGAGAAAGAAATGGCTACCCACTCCAGTATTCTTGCCCGGGAAACTCCATGGACAGAGGAGCCTGGTGTGCTCCAGTCCATGGGGATGTAAAAGAGTTAACCACAACTCAGTGACTAAAAAAAACCCGACAGATCCTGAAATAACTTTGTCTTGTTGCTTTGGCTAGTTTGAGTTGGGGATCTCATACTCCTAACAAATCCAGTACCATTGTTTTTATCATCCTAATCCTGATGTCTTTTTCTTTCTTTTTTTCTCTTTAATCACATTTCAGGTATGTTTAGTTGGCTAGAGAATCACGATGATCACTCAAGGCCTTGGACCCTGGACTGCAGAGTGACAAGTAGCCCCAATACAGGAAGGGTGGGCAGTGCACAGAGAGCTCTCAGCTTAGGGGTCACACACAGCCAGGAGTGCTTTCTGAAAAGTGTGCTTTGGTAGGGCTCCATAATTTGGGACGTATCCTGGGACTCTAACAAAAAGTACTTAGTTGCATTAAGAATTATCTTGTCTTTTTGGGAATTTTTGGTGGTTCAGTAATGAGGACTTCTCGATTTCACTGCCAAGGGCTCAAGTTCTACCCCTGGTCCAGTAACTAAGATTTCAAAAGTGGTGTGGTGTGGCCCCCCAAAAATTGATTATACATAAAATAAATAATCAACAAGGACCTATTGTATGACACTGGGAATTCTACTCAATACTCTGTAATAACTTATATGGGAAAAGAATCTGAAAAAGGATACATGTATGTGTATAACTGAATCACTCTGTTGTACATCTGAAACTAACACAACATTGTACATCTGAAACTAACACAACATTGTACATCAACTGTACACCAACATAAATTTTTTAAAAATGTAATGGAAAGAACAAAGTCAACTGATTAGAAACCTTAAAGAAAAGGAGAAAAAAAAAATTCCATTAAAAAAAAATTATCTTGTATTCTAAACTGCATTATACTTCCTCTCTTGCCCCTACTTGCTCCTCCCCATCCCCCAGGGATTCTCAACAAAGGCTGAATCTCAAGAATCCTTGAGACAAAGGCCTATTCACCAATTTAGTGGGAAAGGCAGCAATCTGGGCCTTTGCATAAGTGAAGAAAGTAATTGTTTGTGTGAATTTTTAACCTTTCAAATCTGTTTGTGTGGCCATGCAGACACAATCTCCCCTTAGTTCTCAGACTTGAAGAATTGAAGAACATGTTTTTGTATCTTCTTATCTCTGCTATTGTAGATCTCACCATGAGTCATTTTCTATTTGATCTCATTAACATATAGCCATGAATTAAAAAAAAATTCTTCAGTGTACATAGTATTTTTGTCTTGTTTATTCTCTAATTATCTGTCATTAGTTTATTCAACTAATTATCTGTCAAGGCCACACTTTTTTTTTTTTTTTTTGGATGTGGCCCATTTTTAAAGTCTTTATTGAATTTGTTACAATATTGTTTCTTGTTTTATGTTTTGGTTTTTGGCATGTGGGAT